TGAAATGAGTGCTCTGGGGCTCTTTACATCATGCCCTCCAGCCTCAGCCTCCTCATCTGTAAAATGGGGACCGTACCTGTTCCCGCGCCTCTGGCCTCATCACACAATTTTGAAAAACAAATGAAGGAGTAGATGTGAAAGTCCTCTGAAAAGGCAGAAGTGTCGGCTAAGGTAAGGAACTACTATTCATAGCCTCATTCTTGAACCTGGGTTGTGGTAAGGTTGTGTGTGCGTGTGTGTGTGTGTGTGTGTGTGTGTGTCTGTTTTTAAAGGTGCAGCATACCGCAGTGACTGACAGGAAGGCCCCGCCTTCTTCCATCTCAGACCTTGGTCCTCACCTGCCTGAGGATCCATTCTGGACAATCAGTGGTTATCTGCAAATGCTTCATCGCAGAGATGACTGAGGTGAAGACACAGTGAATATGAAACCGTGTAGTCTTGAAATGAAGGATTACAGCCTCGTGGAAGACAGCCCAGTGGGGGAGAGGGGGGCCTGGCGGGTTTGGGAAAACAGGCCAGTGGTGTGGCTGGAAAGCACCAGGTGTGGGGGCGGGAGGCACGGGTTCATGGCCGGCTTCCACTTCACTGGGCTGTGTCACCTGGGCGGGCACCTCTCCTTCTCTGAGCCTATTTCCCTGCTGGTAAAACCAGGGGCTGGGCCAGGTGAGAGGCATTACCTAAGACCCCAGGTCCGTAGCTCCAACAGCTGGTCGTTGGCAAAAGAAAACCCACTTCCAGCATTTCCTTAGGAAAGAGCAGAATTTTATGCCTTTGGATCCTGACTGCACAGATACGCTGTTCCATATCATTCCCACAGTTAGGTGCTTTGCACCGATGACTCTTGAACGCAAAGCATTTTGGAACGACATGGAATCACAGATAATTACTAAAAGGAAACAAACTTCTCATCAACCTTGTTCATTAAGCTCTTGCAAAGAATATAGCTCTTACATTCAAGAGAAGGATAAAAAAATCATATTTGGGGGGAAGGGGGTTTCCTTACGTTAGGTTTTGCTTTATTTTTTTTGCTTGACACAGATTCTAAGTGAGGAGTGACTTTTTTTTTTTAATTCCTGAAGAGTAACCTGATCCAGTAAACAGTACATGTTTGTTGAAGGGATGAAAAAGCCGTTTTTCCCGAGCTTTAAGATATCCTGTTGAACCCAATGGATATTGTGGATTCACTTAGTTCCTCGACTATTCTCAAGTTACAAGTGAGGAACTACAACGAAAACTGCATTAATATTGTGAGTTCCTTAACTGTAAATGTTTTGTAATAATCGGGCACTCCCACAAATTAGAAGATATTTCAATTTTAGTAAGAAAACACTGTTTTTAGGGATTTATTCTACATAAATGCATGCATAATTGTGCAAAGGTGTATGTGGAGGTATTTATTGTTACATTGTTTACAATAGGAAAAATGTGTACTAAGTCCTTGGCCTCTGTAAACTATAATATAGCTTTGTTTGAATATCAGGCAGCCATTAAAAAGGTTTTAATAGTCCTGCATAGTGTCAGGGAGAATGTGTATTGCGTATTTCAGCTTTACACACACATGTATGCACACAACAGTACACAGGGACCTATACTTTTCAGACACTCATGTGTGTGGGGGAGAGTAAAAAATATATCAAGCTTTTAATTTTGGGGTTGAAAATGGAAAAGACATTCTACTTTCTGCACTTTAAAAATATTTGATTTATTTTTACAGTGAAAAGATTTGAGAGATTAAAAAAAAGATGTCTGGTAAGCTTTAACACTAGCATCAAAGGAGGACACAAATACTAAGAACAAATACTTGTTCTGTAAATCTATATAAAATTTCCAAAAAAATGAGTTTGCAACATGCTTAAGAATGTTCCTGTGTTTTGACTGCAGAATTCACTTCGAGGAGTCTCCCTTAAGTAAAGATCCCAACTCATAAAATGAGTCACATAACAAAGTGCTTGGTGGCAGTATTTATCATAACAAAAAAATGCAAAGAATTTGCATATGTCACCAATCAATTGAGTGAACTAGTCAATGACAAACACATCTACACAAATAAAAATTATAATGAGTGCATAATACATGTAACTATGATGCTGTTGTAATGTTAAGGTGGTAAAAATTTTAAATGTAATATGACCCTAGCTAATGAACATATGAAAGCAAGACTAAAAGCTCATATGACTGATGGGACTATGTCAAAATCTTAATAATGGTTTGTGTGAGAGTGTGGTTATATTTATGACCAATGTCTCTATACTTTTTTTCCATAATGATCAGATTCGGTTCTACAATAATTTTTTAAGCTCTTTTTAAAACAATTAGTACAATCACCAGCAATTTTAAAAACCCTGGCCACGTCAGATGACTTGGTAACCAGAAAACAAAATCTGAAATTAAGGAAGGCAATTTGAAAGACAGTCACTCTTTTGGAAGACTGGTGATCCCAACAATGGAACCACCTGAACGAAGAGGCAGAGGCCTTGAGCATCTGTATTCTGGCTTCTGTTGAAGAAGTGGGGAGCCACAGGGCTCACCTACCATGATTAAGTCTCACGGATCATGGGGAGAATCCTGAAGATAATGTCATGAAGACAATTTCCTTTAAGAAAGTTTAAGATGAGGAAATAAGGGAAGAGTCATATTTGGTTTGGAATAAAACGGCACTCTATATTCTGAACTTGGCACAAAGGTAGTTAAGTTCATGTGTTCCTGGGTTTGGGATTTTATGCAAATGGAATCATACGGTGTTGTCTTTTAGCTCAATGCGGTTTTGTAAAAACAACAAAGGGTTTTGTTTAGAGATCTGTATGTATGTAGTAAAACTATCAAGCAAAGTAAGTGAAGGATAAGCATGCAGTCTGATGGTGATGACTTCTGGGTTGGGAAGGGGACCCAGGTGATGAAGTTAGGAGGTACAAACAAGTGGCTTAAAAGATAATTAGTAAAATATTATCTCTTTATCTAGGCAGGAAAACACATGCATTTATGTGTTATTTTACTTTCTATGTTACATAGGACACTATATATTTTAGTATCTATCAATATTTCATAATAAAAGTGCAAAGCATTTCTTTGTGTTAAAAGGTTAAGATTACATGAAAAACTGAAAGCTGATGGAAAGAAGAAACTTTGCAAGGTTGGTGGCCCTCTAGTGCCCAAATCGCACAAATACAATTAATGTCTTCAATTCTTTTCCGAGATCCACTCATACTTTCATTTCCTTAAAAACAGAAATCAACAGCAAGACCAGGGAGAGTGGCACGGTCCCAGAGTTATTCAGGTTAGACGGTATGTTTTACATCAAATTCTTAAAATGCTGCCAGGCTGATTTTCACTGTCTTTGAAGAATGACCCAAGAGAGTATGTTTCGACTCTCTGGCAAGCATGTTTCATAAAATGTTTCAAAAATTAAAGATACATTTCAAAAGAAAAAGAGTATTAAATTTTTATACCTGTAGGATATTTTTAAATTGGTTTCATCCCCATGTCCTTCTTTTAAAATCTTTAGAATTACTACGTTTAATAGTACTAATTTCCTTACAAATTTTGAGGAAGAATCACACTAACGAATCCTTCAAGACCTAGCTCAGACGTCACAGGCAGCCTTCGGGTCCCACGGGTGAAAGACTCTCTCTGTGCACCTGAGCTTCGAAAACACGAAGCTAACATTTTCGGGGACTTACTTCATCCTGCTTTATATCATAATCATTTGTGTACAGCTCTTATCCACCCATCAGATGCTTGAGGTACGCCAGGGCAAAGTCTCTGTCTTTTTTATCTTTATGTTACCAGTTCTTAACACGGTACCTGGAGAATTTTATAGGCTCTTTTGTCTTTTCCTTTGGGTGCCTGATCTAGAGATTTAAGTGAGATAATTTACACAACTATATTTTAAAACTGAAGTTAGATTTGAAACACATGTTATAGTTCGGCCAAGCAGTCAAAAAAATTACATAGACAGAATGGATAACATAGGGAAATGTGAGATTATTGTAGGTTGGTTAGAGTATTGCATCTAACCTGCAACAGAGAAATGCAGCTTGTTTGCATCATGGGCACAACTGACATTTCGGAAAAAACAGGAATCAACTAACACTGAAAAATACTGTCGCGATTCACAGTTCGGCCTTGCATGAAATGTGCAAATTTGTCAGTCATCACAGAAACTGATGGGAGAATATCCATGACATTCAGCGACTCAGTGACATAATGAAAGGAGCACAGGATTTCAACATCCAGCAGCGTCTGGTGGATCCTAGGGAGGTAACTTCTGAGCCCTACTGTTCCCATTGGTAAAAGCAAATATATATACATATTATATATAAACATGCTACATATATTTATATAGCTTAATATATTATATGATAAATATATTTTTATATTTATATATGATATGTAGTGTGTATTATATATTATATATCATATAGTACATGTTTTACATACAATATATTATATTATAGCTTATAAGTTATATAACTTTTTTATATTATGTTTTATATTATATATGTTTTATATATAAGTTATATGTTATATTATAAGCATATTATATATAATAATGTATTATATATTACTGTATATATTATTTGTATATTATAAAAATATATGTGATATATTTTTATTATATATTATATAAGATTATAGAAGTGTATAAGTATACATAAGTATATATATATAAGATTACAGAAGTGTGTAAATATATATAAGTATACTATTATACAATTTTATAATATATAAAATATATTTTATATAGATTATGTGAATATATTTTATATATCTATAAAACGTGGAATATAAAATATATCACATGCATGTATATCCAGGCACCCAGGTTAGTCAGTGCACAAAATTGTGATCTCATTTGTGACAAGTGCTTTCAGACAGCTGCTGTCTTTCTTCTTAAGCTATGTCCCTGGTGGCCGTCTTTTCTTTCTCACTTATGATAAAGCCCATCACCATGTTCCATCCTTAACGGTAACGTAAGGGGAGTAATTATGAGTGGAACTCACCGACTTGTGTTTGTATAGAGCGTTTTAGAGGTCCGAGGCTTGGCGACAGATGTGATGTCTCCGAAGGGGTTGTCCACGTCATCAGCATTTGTGGACTGCACGTAACCACTGTTTACATGACAGGGAAAGAAAACGTGGGTTTCTTTATAAGAAAAATGAACAAAAAGATCAACAGGGTCCTAACATCCAAAGGAAATCTTATTTGCTAAAATAGATCAAAAACTGAAAAAGCAAAATAAATTAATAATAATAATAATAATCACGATGATGGAAAAATTTGCCTTAAAAAAATAAAGGCAAGAGATTTTCCCATTTTCAGAGTAACAGTTGCCAGGCCCTCATGATCTTAAGTTTGGGCCAGAGTGGGAGTAACAGGTGGGTTGTGTTTTTTGGTGCCGAGAATCAGGCTGTCTCTGCAGCCCTGGGTTGGCTCCCTCACTGGAGAAGGGGATCAAGCCTGGGGTAGGGCAGAGACCGGCATCTGCCAGAGCCACTAGGGCTCCAGCTGGGGACAGAAACTTAGTTGGAAAGACTGGTCACCTCCATCATGGAGCAGTAATGAGGGAGGGGGAGGGCAAAGGTGAAAGACCCATCTTCTTGGATTCACTTTGTTCCATGGCCCTATGATCTGAATATTTATGTTCCTCCCATATTCCTATGTTGAAATTCTAATGCCCAAAGGTGATGGTAGGAGGAGGTGGAGGGAGCAGGAGGTGGGAGGAGCTCGGATCATGAGGGTGGAGCCCTCCTGAGCGGGATTAGTGTTCTTCTAAGAACACAGAGCTCTCTTGCCCCTTCCACCCTGGAAGGACAGGTGGAGAAGTCTGGGACTCAGGAGAGAGTCCTCTCCCCGCCAGGCTGGCACCCAGATCTTGGGCTTCCAGGCTCAAGAACTGTTAGAAAGACATGTCTGTTGTTTATAAGCCACCCAGTCAGTGACGTTTCAGGATAGCAGCCCAACAGACTCAAACACAAGGTTATTCCTCAACCCAAAGCGGAGAGGACCCCCACACAGTGGACGATGCAGGTCCTTGCCAACTATGGAAAGCCAAATTTAAATTTAGAAAAGTAAGAAGAGACATTTCCTGTACTTCAGTGTTAGCGAGCACATTGCATCTTCCGCATCGAGTATCAAAGCCTTTCTGGTTGACAACATCCAATATTAGTAGCACCCAGCGTATTTTACTTCGTAAAATAACCAATTTGGGGAAACAGAAAAATACCACTCCCCCTTTCTTTCTTTTATCAAAATCGTTAACAGATCTGTGATGGAAGTCCTGACATTAAGCAGGCTGTGTGCTGGCAAAACATTAGAAATCTGTTCGAAAGTATAAGTTGTCTTAAACAGTGAATTACAAACATGAGTGAGCTGAAGGCAGCTACAATTTAGATGTAAATCTAGTAATTTTTAAGACATTTAGAAACACTCTCACTTACGTATAAAGAGGAATGTATTTGCTTCTGGAACTTGGACTCACGCTTAGAAAAAAGAGAAAATAAGGACAATGGAGTTATTGACATTAACTTAATAAGCATCAAATTATTACAGTGTTTCTCTTATTAAGAAGAGCAAAGTGTTAAGATACCTCATGGGAATTAACCTCTAAGAGTTTGTAATTTTAAACTGAGGTGATTTAAAGATGTAGTTTTAAGTGAAAATCAAAAACAGAACAAATTGACTCCAGCTCTCAAGGAGTCGGGTTTGCTCTTGGTTTGCTCTCTGTAGCCCTAATTTAGAGCCTTTCTTCTTGGCTTTCCCTTTTGCTGTACGCTTCCTTCGGGACTGGACGGGCACTATCTGGCAAAGCCGGACCCCCGATTTTCTTAGACACACGGAATTTTTATGTTGAATGGCTCCTACTGACCATCCAGTCTAACTCTCCATGGTATACAGGAAGCAGTCCAGGGCACGAAGTTCTGTGACTCACACGAGATCACAGTTATTTATAGCATCACAAGGAGCTCCAGGTTCATTTTGTATTTTCCCTGCTCCAGCCCCAGAATCGGCCATTTCTTTAGAGGTCTCAAAATTTCTTTTCTTGGAGAGTGGTGATTAAAAGCCAACATCTGGGGGCACCTGGGTGGCTCAGTCAGTGAAGCGTCTGCCTTGGGCTCAGGTCATGATCCCGGGGTCCTGGGATGGAGCCCCGAGTCTGGCTCCCTGCTCAGGGGGGAGTCTGCTTCTCCCTCTGTGCATCTCCTCTCTCTCTGTCTCCCATAAATAAATAAAATATTTAAAAAAATAAAAAATAAAAGCCGACATCTGGGTGTTGGTTATGCTTGTGGCTGCTGGGGTAGGTGTCCCTGCTCCTGGGTACTCCAAGTGGACAGAGCTGGGGACGGACACAAGTGTGGGCACCTCTACAGACCCACATGTGTGTGTGTATTTCTGTATCTGCTATCTGTATATAAATTACAGTAAGCCTGAGTTCATAGGATCCCCCCGATCAAATCCAGTGCCACAGGGTTCATGCATAGCCTTTCTTCCTTACTTATTCGTATTTCCTCCTGACAGTGTGAAACCTGCTTCCTGTTATCTAGCAAACATTTCGTTTTGTTCAAACCCATACATGTAAGCAGTGTTAGAATCACCAACCCATTTCCCTGGGGAGACGCACACACCATCTAGAGCATAGCACTTATATACAATTGGTTTCATCTCTAGCCTTACGTTATTCCGTCAAAATACTGTCTCCAAACTTATTTAGGACCATCCACTAAAGTGTAGTTATGTCACTGATTTGAAACATAGATTCTTTTGCCACCATCCGCATTCCATCCTGGATTCCCCCAACATCTGGCACGTATGGGTGCATATATGCATGTATTTATTTCACTTTGCATTCAGGAAAATTTGTTCTTTTTTTTATTTACAGGTTTTATTTATTTATTTGACAGAGAAAAAGAGAGAGAGCATGAGCAGGGGGGAGGAACAAGGGGGGAGGGAGAAGCAGACTCTCCACTGAGCAGGGAGCCCGACGTGGGACTCGATCCCAGGATGCCGAGATCATGACCTGAGCCGAAAGACGCTTAACCGACGGAGCCACCCAGGCACCCGGTGAAGTTTGTTCTTTTTAGTGAATAGTTCTATTGGTTTCACAAATACAGAGTCAAGTAACCATATAGAGCAGTTCACTACCCTAAATGTTCCCTTTTTAGGCTGTCTGTATTCATCCCTTTCCCCCCTTCCCAACTCCTGGCTGCCATTGTTCTATTCCCATCCTGGTAGTTTTGCCTTTTCTAAATGTCATATAAATGGAGTCATACAATATGTGACCCTTTGGGTCTGGCTGCTTTCACTGAGTAAAATGCAGTTAAGATTCACACACTCTATTGTGTGTTGCATTTGGTTTTTTCATTGCTGAGTAGTATGTCATTGCATGGGTATACTCTAGTATGTTTATCCAGTATGTGCTTTCCCACTGGCCTGTTGAAAGATATCTTGGTGGTTTCTAGGTTTGGGCATTATGAGTTGAGCCACATAGCCATTCGATTATAGGTTTTAGTGTGGGCTCCTAGGAGCAACATTTGCATAGAGGAAGGGTCAGGGTGAGCAGCACTCTCAAAAGCTTGGAGACATGGCAATACTGACTAAGACATACAGCTTTTCACTGATCAAATGATTTCCTATTTAAAAAGTGCAATGGGAGAAGACATCCAAATGGCCAACAGACACATGAAAAAGTGCTCAATATCGCTCGGCATCAGGGAAATCCAAATCAAAACCTCAGTGAGATACCACCTCACACCAGTCAGAATGGCTAAAATGAACAAGTCAGGAAACGACAGATGTTGGTGGGGATGCGGAGAAAGGGGAACCCTCCTACACTATTGGTGGGAATGCAAGCTGGTGCAGCCACTCTGGAAAACAGTATGGAGGTTCCTCAGAAAGTTGAAAATAGAGCTACCATATGATCCAGCAATTGCACTACTGGGTATTTACCCCAAAGATACAAAAGTAGGGATCCGAAAGGGTACGTGCACCCCGATGTTTATAGCAGCAATGTCCACAATAGCCAAACTGTGGAAAGAGCCAAGATGTCCATCGACAGATGAATGGATAAAGAAGAGGTGGTATATATATATACAATGGAATATTATGCAGCCATCAAAAGGAATGAGATCTTGCCATTTGCAACGACGTGGATGGAACTGGAGGGTATTATGTTGAGTGAAATAAGTCAAACAGAGAAAGACATGTATCATATGATCTCACTGATATGAGGGATTCTTAATTGCAGGAAACAAACTGAGGGTTGCTGGAGTGGGGGGTGGGGTGGGAGGGATGGGGTGACTGGGTGATAGACACTGGGGAGGGTATGTGCTCTGGTAAGCGCTGTGAATTGTGCAAGACTGTTGAATCTCAGATCTGTACCTCTGAAACAAATAATGCAATATATGTTAAGAAAAAAAAAAAGAAGAAGAAGAAGGTAGCGGGAGGGGAAGAATGAAGCAGGGGAAATCGGAGGGGTAGATGAACCATGAGAGACGATGGACTCTGAAAAACAAACAGGGTTCTAGAGGGGAGGGGGTGGGAGGATGGGTTAGCCTGGTGGTGGGTATTGAGGAGGGCACATTCTGCATGGAGCACTGGGTGTTATGCACAAACAATGAATCATGGAACACTTCATCTAAAACTAATGATGTAATATATGGGGATTAACATAAGAATAAAAAAATAAATAAAATAAAATGTGCAATGGGGGCACCTGGGTATCTCAATCAGTTAAGCATCTGACTCTTGATCTCAGCTCAAATCATGATCTCAGGCTCGTGAAATCGAGCCCCACATCACGCTCTGTGCTGGGCATGGAGCCTGCTTGAGATTCTCTCTCTCCTTTTCCCTCTGCCCTTCCCCCCTTCTCTCTCTAAAAAAACAAATTAAAATTAAAAATTAAAAAATTAAAAAGGCAATGGATTCATATAAACGGGAATACAAATTTTATCATCTGGGTGAACTATTTGCTATTTCACCACATGATATATAAATAAAAAGATGCTAATAGTGTTCTTATTAGTACTCGCATAATGTAAAAGTTGGCACCAATGATTTGCATCTTGGTTCTTTTATTTACTTATTTTTTTAGTTAGATAAATGTACTTTAAAAAAAAAAATATTTACTTATTTATTTATTTTTTGATGTCGTGTTCCATGATTCATTGTTTGCATATAACACCCAATGCATCTTTGTTCTTCTAAAAGATATTTGATTGTGACCACCAACAGTTTCAGCTTACTATGTTTATGAGTCTTATATTTTGTGAGTGTCTTAATCTTTAAAAAATTATTACCTTTCAACTTCTACCTTGGAATCTATTTTTTATATTGGATGTATTCCACATTTGGCAAAACATTTTAAATAATCTTTATCAAAAAGTTTATACATTATTTTTAGAATATGGCTTGAGAAAATCTACATTTGCTGACAAGACAACATTCTTCTCAATATTTTCACCATTTGCAATACCAAATGCAACAGTTAAACGTGATTATGATTTTGCTTATTTTCACTTCATTATTCTTTTTTCTCTTACTGATATAAAAATTCATTTCTAAAGGGCAATATAAGCTGGTTTTATTGACGTAGTACAAACATTTGAAAAATGTTGTCTTTGACATTATTTTTCCATAACTGAAATTTATCAAGAACTCTCATTAATTTTGCCGACTACAGTTAAATATCTCCTGGACTTAGCAATTAGTTGTGGATTAGGTAAATATAAAATTAAATGTACAAGATTAACCTTCCCATTGAGGTGATGATTGAATCTCTAGGAAAGAAAAGATAGAATAATCTCACTGTGGACATGTGCTTTTCTTATGCATTATCTTTGTCTTACATGATTCTTTATAAACATCTGCAGTATTTTTTGCAAAATACACAGATCTGTCTAGAGTTCCATATGATTCATTCTTATATTTTCTATTCTATTTAATTTTACAAAATGGTGGTTGTGACTCACCACCAATGGGTTGCAACCAACAGGCTACACTTTACTCATTAAACTACTTAGTAGAGTCTACTCATTAACCTGCACTAGAGTAATTGTTCAGTCATGTGGAGAAATGGATCCCTCATTCACACCCTAAACCTGAGTTGATTTCAAATGGTTTAAAGAAATAAATGTGAAAAGCAAAGTGTTTTTTAGAAAAAAGTTAAGAAGAATAATATATTACTTCTGGGTAGGGAAAGATCTATTAAAAAGTCCATAAAAATAATAAGACATGGAAGAAAATATTGATGAATTCAGTTATATTAAAATTCAAAACTTCAGTTCAGCAAAGAGCAGTATAAAACAGAAAAGTCACAGATGAAAAGGAGATACTTTGATGCATATTACCAACAAAGAATTTTTTTCCAGAATAGTAAACATAAAAATTTATACAATTAATACATAAAAGACAAGGAACCCAACTGCAAATGGGGAAAAATGTATGAACAGGTAAGTTACAGATGCGAACACCCAAGTGAGTCGTAACCTACAAAAAATGATTATTGGCTATCAGGTAAATGTAAGTGAAAATGATAATGAAATACAATTTCATACTCATAAGATTAGAATTTTTTTAAATTTGAAATTCCAAATGCTGGCCATGATGTGCAGTGGTGGGAACTCAAGCGCTCCCAATGGTTTAGCCCATAGGTATAACGCATCTGGAGCAGAATGTGCCGATCTCTTGATTATAAGGAAGTCACCCTCTTGATGCCGCAATTGTAGAGGTAAATATGTATATAAAATCTAGAAATATTTTTGTGCTTGAGTACATGAAGAAATGGGGACATTGTTTCCAACTGCAATAAAATAAAAAAATAATTAAATTACAAGAATGGATAAATAAATTGTGGTATATCCATACAACGCAAGACTATCCAGCAAGGAAAGTGAGCACCTAGAGATCTAAATGCCAACTTGTATAAATCTCACAAACACAACAATGAACAAAAATGTTCAAGTTGTATATATATATATATATATATATATATATATATATACATATATATATGTGTGTGTATATATATATATATGTATATATATATATATAATGCCGCTTATATTGAGTTTAGAACCATGGAACACAATGCCATATCTTGGTTAAAAAGAATACATGTGTTTTAAAGGATTATAGGAAGGTATGAAATATGAAACATCAAATCCAGAATGATAGTGATCCCTAAGGAAGAACAGAGAAGCTCTCCATCATGTTGGTAATGCTCTATTTCTAAAACTGGGAAATGCTACACAAATTGCATCATATTCTTATTTGTATGTTTTGTATATATTAAATTTCAATTATTTATTCAAAAATAAATTTAAAAAATAAAAAATAGATGATAACCTAGATGTGGGTTGTAGTGAGAACAAAAAATAGGAAGAAGTAGTGACATTTTCGAAGACAGAAACATCAGGCTTTTTTAGACTGCATGCACAAAATTACTTATGTGGAAGGATTCATAATAAAGCCATAGTTTCTAGCATAAAATAAAACACAAAATAACTGCTTGATGCAAAAGTTGATAGAAATGTTACAATCCCTTGAAGTCCATGGATTTCACAACATTATAATTCTTTATATCAACTTATTCATAAAGCACTCCTTATTTTTAAATGGTTTTAAATTTTTGTGGGTGTTTTTTTTAAAGAGAGAATGTGGGGCGGGGGGCAGAGGGAGAGAGAGAATCTCAAGCAGGCTCCACGCTCAGCAGGAGCCTGATGCAGGGTTCAATATCAGGACCCAGAGATCAAGACCTGAGCCAAAATCAACAGTCGGATGCTTAACTGACTGAGCCACCCAGACGCCCCATTCATAGTCTAAATTGTAAGGAGGGTTAAGAGAAAACAAGAGAAAGCAGGCAACACTGAGCAAGTGAACGGGACTTGGGTTCTCTTTCCCGTCACAGGGATGGAAGTCTGAGGTCTCTGGAATGTTCTCCAGAGGATATACCCCTCACCCCTTCTATAAGCCATGGATGGGAGCACCAGACGTATCAGTGAGAGATCTGTGATAGTGAAAAATTTACTGATGAGAACACAGGGGGATAAAACTTACAAAGTAACTGGCTTGACCGGTGTCAAGAAAGATCTTGTTTGAAATCTGTCCCAGAGTCCACCAACCATCTAAAATCAGCAACAAAATGAATGACATATTTAATGAGCAAATCACATCATGTCTTGTCTATAAGCTCCTGTGCTCTTAACCATACCCACCACATCATAGGCAAGCCCCAGGCTCCCAATGGAAAGCACTCTCCAAACCTGCTTAGCAACAGAGGGCTTTGCCCCAGAGCCCCTCCTGGTCTCTGCTCTGCCCTCAGACCCTTAGTTTCCATTAGTTTTCACACAGCTGGAATCTGCCTCATCATCTACGTCCTATAGACTGAAGCCCTATGAAAGGTCTGATTTTGGTTTTCATCTCAGAACCTGTGGTCACTTGGCTCTGTTTTTGTCCACCCTCTGCAGCCCCAGGCTGGTCTCCCCTTTCCAGCCCCATCCAGACCCTGAGCTTTGAACTTCATCTTGCCAGGAAGGACTTTGGGTTCTGGCATAAGTAGATGCCAAAGCATATGTTTAAAAATGATATAAAAATATTTTCAAAAGGTATAATTTTCAAAAGATATAAAAATATTTTTAAGTAGTTGAGAGATCCTTAAAAACAGCTGTAAGAATCCAGGCACATTTTCTGTCCTCTGACTTAGTTTAGTTTCTATGGGCAAATCCTGTGCCAAGACTTTATATTATAGCCACATTGTTTCTCTCTTGCTGCCATTTTGCTCTGTAAAAGCTGACAAAGATTTTCAAAATAATGTGGGCTTCTTACCCTGTGGTTCTGAACCTCTTAGGAGTCCGTATTTAGCACCATATTTATATATAATCATTTTCCTCTTTAGTGCTATGTGTTTTACATAGGAAAGAGCTTTGTTATGAGAGGTGGTCCCCAGGCTTGTCAGACTTCCAAGGGATGAGGAACAGAGCGAAAGGATGAGAGATTCAATGCAAGTAGGAGGCGCTTTGCAAGCACAGAGCCAGGGTTGGGAGGGCAATAGTGAGGTCCCACATTAAGACCCAAAGGATTCATGGGACTTAGCCTGGAAAAAAGGGAATGCTGAAGGGAGTGGAATACTGTTTGTTCAGAGGATGGGGTTTGAGGAGCAAGAGGAACAGGAAGGTAAGGATCAGGCTGAGGAGGGGCCATGGGCAAATAACAGGACGGGGGACATGTCCTGTCAAAGAGCATGGATTTCACTTCCTCAAAAATGAAGGGTTTTAATCAGAGGAGTGATATGAAGCGATTCACACTTTAGGAAAAGTACCCTGGCTGGTGGTGTGGATACAATAATTCACGTGCTGAATTCTTGATGTTTGGAAATGAACACAGAGGGGCGCCTGGGAGGCTCAGTCGGTTAAGTGTCCAACTCTTGATTTTGGCTCTGGTCATGATCTCAGGGTCGTGAGATCGAGCCCCATGTCAGGCTCTATGCTGAACGTAGACCTGCTTAAGATTCTCTCTCTCCCTCTGCCCCTCCCCGCCCTCTCTCTCTTAATAAAATAAAATAAAATAAAATAAAATAAAATAAATATGAAAACATACATCTGTGGAGACAACCAACTATGCTTTGTTTTGCTAGAAATAAGAGCTCTATGATTCATGGGTTTTCCCATTCTGTCTCAGAGTGCAGAGGTTAGGCTCAATTTCAAGAACTGTTCTCAACACAGGTTCTCTGATGGAATCATAATTATTTCTCCATCCCTCAGTCCTCCTTGTGCAGTTTTAAAATAAACACAGTCATTGCAAAGGACTTTTGAGACAGAGGTAGTTTTTAAATAAAATTTTAAGAAGTGCAATACAGGTAACATTGAAGTATTTGAGGTTATTGATGACTTTTTTTTTTTAAAGATTTTATTTATTTATTTGAGAGAGAGAGTGAGAGAGAGAAAGAGCACAAGAGGGGGGAGCAGGAGAGGGAGAAGCAGACTCCCTGCTGAGCAGGGAGCCCGATGTGGGACTCAATCCCAGGACTCCAGGATCATGACCTGAGCCGAAGGCAGTCGCTTAACCAACTGAGCCACCCAGGCGCCCTGATGACTTTTTTGATTATGGCACTTTCAAGTCCATAAATGTATATATTTACATGTTCTTTCCATGTTTCTTACAATAAAATGAATATTCAAGTTTTGGGCTTCAGTTTAGAAATAAATGCACTGTTGCAAAAATGCAACATTATATATGGGAAAAGGCATTATGCACATGTAATTGAGGTCCCTAATCACTGACCTGGGTTATTGATGGGGCCCCTTCATATCTTTTCAGTGTAAAACACTGTGAAATCAGGTCAGCAGCTTTTTCCACTGTTGTTTCTTCTGGGTCGGGTTTCGGTGGTAGCATCTTGTCCCAAGGAACAACTTCATAAGCTCTGTGAAATTATTAAATAAGGACATAGTATGAAAAATACATATTCAAATGGTATGAGTCCTAGCAGTATCATACCCTGTGGCAGGCAGAATTCGATGGTGTCCCCCATGACTCCTGCCCCCTGGTGTACATGTCATATATAACCACCTCCCCTCTGGTGTGGGCAGAGCGAATGAGTATGACAAGATACCACTCCTGTGATACTTTGTATGTCAACTTTATATGGCCAAGGGATTGTGCCTATATATTCAAGGTCCCTAATCAGTTGAATTTGAGTTAATCAAAAGGTGGATTCTCCTAAGTAGGTCTGACCCAAACAGGTGAGCCCTAAAAAGAGATAAACATACAGTAGACACTTTGCAGCTGTCCTTAAAGAAACACCTCATGAGGGGTGCCTGGGTGGCTCAGTCGGTTAAACGTCCAATTCTTGATTTCGGCTCAGCTCGTGATCCCAGGGTCCTGGAATCGAGCCCCATGTTGGGCTCCGCACTCAGCAGGGAGTTTGCTTCTCCCTCTCCCTCTGCCCCTCCCCTTGTTCATGCTCTCTTTCTCTCAAATAAATAAGTAAAATCTTAAAAAAGAAAGAAAGAAAGAAAAGGAAAGAAAAAGAAACACCGCATGAGCCCCCCCAGCTTTAATGAACTGAATTCTGCTGCGAATCCGACTGCTCCTGGAGGACAAGGACCCAGCCCCAGCTGACACTCTGATTCCAGCCTGAGAAACTCTGAGTATTGAACCCAGTCGGGGCACACCTGGACTTCTGACTGCAGTCATGTGGTTTAAAGCTGATAATTTGTGGTCGTCTGTTGCATGGCAGTAGAAAACCAATGCATTTAATTATATGCATCTTACAGTTCACACACAAAAAAATGCATTTGACCTTCGCAGCAGGGCAGAAAGACCATTCTTTAACTTACAAATAAACAAACTCTGGCTTAGAGAATGAAATTTGTTTGCTTAAGGTGCTCAGCTACTGGTGGTCGAAGTCAGGATGCTGATGCAGATTCTCAGCCCCTGAAGAGTGAGCCACATTCCCACTGCCCCACACCAATGATCCTGATTATCAAAGTCTGGGCCGTGGTACCAGGAGTCCAGCCATCTTAACAAAAGCAAGCGTTATACACACAGAATTCGGATCTAAAGGTCCCGTCTTGGATTTCAAGTTTTGAAAGTTTTGTTTTATTGTTTTAGACAGACACACATGACAGATACAGCTAAACAGACTCCAGTTTGATTCTGAAGGAAAACCAAAGCTCCCTCATTCACGTGGTGGCATCCGGACAGGATAGATGGATAGATGGCCATCCCCGGTGTCCAGCATCCTGCTCCTACCCTGCCCAGCCTTGGTGCAAAAGCTGAACGCTCCGTCCCACCCTGTCAGCCAGCCTTCTCCTTCCAAATAATTCCACTCCTCTCAGTTGGCAAACAATTACCAGTGATCCTCATTCCCTCAACAAATATCTATTCAGCGATTACTGTATTTCAAGCACTGTGCTCGGGGCTTGGGATAAAAGCCTGGATAAGAAACAACATAAACATTTTATTTACCACATAGGACTGATGTGATGATTCATTAAATTAATATTTGTGAAATTAAACACCATGGTGATGTCTCCACAGTGTGTTAACTGTTGTGTATATGTTTTCAACTCACTCACTCTGAAATTACCGTGGCCTAAAGAAAAGCTAACTCTTATGAAATACTTTTAATTGTAGCGAAAGCTTAAATGGTTCATTTGTCTCTCTCTTATTTTAAATGATTTTATTTATTTATTTGTCACAGAGAGAGACTGAGCACAAGCAGGGGGAGCGGCAGAGGAAGAGGGAGAAGCAGGCTCCTGCTGAGCAAGGACTAGATCCTAGGACCTTGGGATTATGACCTGAGCCACAGGCAGATGCTTAACAGACTGAGTCACCCAGGGGGTCCCTAAAATGGTGCATTTTTCAGACAGAATATCTGAATGGTATTGTCGTAAGAAATTCACCTGAGTTGAATTAAATTTTGCAAGATGCCTCTCTGTTTGAGCCTCTGATGCATTTCACGAATATTTTATGGAATTTTCCATACAGGTTTCACAAGATTTTTTTCCCCTATGAAAACTTTTATATGCCGTGTTTTAAATAAGACTATCGGATAGTATGATTTCATACTTTGTATTGTCAAAAATCCTTATATTCTGAGCAAAGGATCATGAATTTAGCCAAATCAGCAACTTTTTCCAAGATGACCACTGGAATTTTTTCTGAGAGACACCAAGATAAGAATACGATAGGGAATGAAATAAAAACCAGAGAGGAAATTATAGGCCATTTCGTTAAAATCCTTCATTTTTAAGATGAGAAAGGTGAGAATTGGGTGTCTCACTACCCGCCCCCAGACTGCAGATGCTTTCCATAGAGCTCTTTTCTCAACTTGCTCTAAGACTCTGAAACACAGCTCCATACCCTGTTTCTTTCTTCCTTTCTTTCTTCCTTTCTTTCTTTCTTTCTTTCTTTCTTTCTTTCTTTCTTTCTTTCTTTCTTTCTTTCTTTCTTTCTTTCTCTTTCTTTCTTTCTTTCTTTCTTTCTTTTTTAATGTAAATGAAGTTTATTTTGCTTTTTAAGTAGTGCTCTTAAAGCATTGCAGCTTGGTAAATAGTGTAAATTAGTACTTGTTTTTTCATGACTTGCTAAAAAGATGCAGCCTGTTCTAAAGGGATAAATATTTTCACCACTTCACTTGGAGTTAATGAAGACTCACACATGAACAACACTCTTCCTAAGGAAAACAAGAAGCTGTTGCCAACACACCAACGAAAAGAACTGTGTAAAAATGATTGTTGCTATACTTTTCCAGTTGTTTTACAAGGAGGAGATAAGGCACACGATCTTGCTACAAACTTGCCATCCAGACTTGTAATACTTGTGGTCTATGCAGAGGGTTCTGTCCAAGGGACGTGAACTTCAGACAACGGGGCACTGTAACCCTAATAATGCATTTGGTTGGCTGGTTATCTTTTCTTCTGAAATATGGGTTAGAATGAAAATAATTCCTCATTAAAAATTGACATTGTTTACAGAAAAAAGGTTGTATGATTTTGCATCAGAATCTCCAAGTATATGTTGAAATAGAATTTGCCTCCTCCCCCATCTCAGCCACAAAATGGGCAAGAAGTACAATTCTTTAAAATGCCTTAATTTGGGGCACCTGCGTGGCTCAGTCGTTAAGGGTCTGCCTTCTGCTCAGGTCATGATCCCAGGGTCCTGGGACCGAGCCCCTGTGTTGGGCTCCCTGCTCAGTGGGGAGTCTGTTTCTCCCTCTCCCTCTGCCCTCCTCCCTGCTTGTGCTCTCTCTCTCAAATAAATAAACATCTTTTTAAAAATTCCTCAATTTTCAACTTCCTGAAAACTAAATACAGATGATTGAAACCAAAGCTTACAGAATGGCAGGATATTTCACAGAACATTTCTTATACACAAAACACATAAAGGGCTACTAAGTGACATTTTCATTAACAAATTGGCATCATTTAGGTCAACAAGTATCCCAATGCTGATTTCTTCTACTAAGGAGACTTGCAGAGAAAAAGGGAGAGAAAGAGAAAAGAGAGAGAGAGAAAGCATGACTTCTGATTTTAATCACACATTTCACATATATTCTTTATATTTTTATAAACCTTCTGGGAAAATATCTACTCCTAAGTATATTTCATGAAACTGGTGGTGGGTGAGGCTGAAATGTGAGGCACATCTGCTGGGTTCAGCCCCTGGGGAAGGAAGGACTTTGGAGGGAATGAAGTGCTTTGCAGCACCCACACACATTGTCAGGTCCCTATGCTCACGGCAGCCACCCCCGGACCCCCGCTCCTCCACTCTCTGTGTTTCTGCTGATTTCAAAGCCCACTGGGCAACTGCAATCATCTCTTCTCGGGGTTGACTGTCCTTGACCGTTTGCACAGTTTCACTGCCTCCTCCCCGAACACCCTTAACGTGTGTCTGCCAATTCACACTTGTTGCTAAGCCATGACCCCTGCACTTAATTTCTCTAGCTGCTCTTCCAAACCCCAGACCCATACACCCTGTCACCTACTTGACGTAGCCACGTGGATATCTAATGAACATCTTTATATTCAGCAGGTCTAAAATGGACTTCTGACCTTTCCCTCCAAACCCACTCCCCTGTGTCAAAGTAATGGCAACCTCAGGCCATCTGGCTGCTTAGCCCAAACCCTTGGATTGTCCTTGACTCCTATTTCCTTGAGATTCATTACCTGCAAACTGGAAATTGTGTTGGCTCTACTTTCAAAATATATCCAGAAGCCAACCGTGGCTGACACCTTCCTACCAGCCTCCCCCAAACCGTCCTTACCTGACCTCTATAGACGCCAGCGGTACCCTGGCCTCCCCCTTCTGCCTCATCCGGTTGTCTGGGAACACAGAGGCCACCACGTTACTTTCTGAGAGTCTGATCTTGCCACTTCTCTGCTAAACCTTCACTTCCCTCAGAGAAAAAGCCCTGGTGTTTACAGTTGCTTAAAGTGCCCCTGGACGTCTGGTTCCAGACACTCCCTGCTTTTTCCCATCTTCTCTTTCTAATTCCCCTCTTGTACTCTGCTCTAGATACCCTGGCCCGGGTGCACCCCTGACTCCATGCACATTTCTGACACAGGTCTCTGCATGGTTCTGCATTCCCTCTGCCTGGAAAATGGTCACTCCAGAGATCTGCAATCACTTCCCTATGCCTTCTGAGCTTCTCTCAAATCCCATCACTGAGGAGGACCCCCCCGCAGACCTCCTTCACTACTGAAACCTCCTACCCTTACACAGGATACCCTTGATGCTCTTATCCTGTGCCATCTTTTTTATGTTTCCATAGACTCATTACCTTCTAAGATATGAGCTATTTACGTGTTACGTTTGTGCTTATCGTCCATCTCCCTTTAGAATGAGAGCTCTTTGAGAACAGAGATCTTTGTCTGCTTTATTCCCTGATGAACCTCATAGCCTAGGGCACAGACACACAGCAAGAGTTGAAGATGGTTTTTGACTGAGTAAATGAACTCCTTCAGGCTTTCTCTGCTTTGGTTTTCTGTGATGCTATACTCTTATCTTCTCCTCTCTCTAACCATTTCCTTTCTGCTTTGGTTTTATTCTTCTATTAAACATAGATTTTCTTTAAGACTCTCCCTTGACCTCTTTATTTTAGCCATCAACATGAGTGAGTAAGTATCTGCATCTGATGCTCTCTGAATGACTCATTGAAGCCAGGACACTGTGGATACAAAGGGGATGTGTCATGAAAGATGACACAAATACTTTATTTTTTTAGTTTATTTTTTTTATTTTTTAAAAGACTTATTTATTTATGTGGAGGGGGAGGGGCAGAGGGAGAAAAGGGAGATGGAGAGGGAGAATCTCAAGCAGACTCCCCGCTAAGTGCAGAGCTACACATGGGGCTCAATCTCAGGACCCTGAGATCATGACTTGAGCTGAAATCAAGAGTCGGCTGCTTAACCGACTGAGCCACCCAGGCGCCCCTAGAAGTACATTTTTAAATCAAAGTTCTATTGGGAAAAATGCTTACTTTTGAGTCGAGGACTTGTAAAATGAGTCCTTTGCACTGTATTTCCCGTTTGGTTGTAAAAGCGGTTCTCCATCCTCCTAGAAGGTGTGAATAATAAATTAAAGGAGATCAGATAACATGGGAAGTGCTCATGCTTTCTACGCATGTGGTTTCTTGTTTTCTCTGTCCCTACTTTTCTCCTGTCATAGCACCCCGTGGGTGGACCAGGTTTAACACTCCCCTACTTCCCTCAGTTGTCTTGAAAATTTACATTCTCTGTATAATCTCCCAGTGATTAAGTTAAAATTGACAAAATGTATATTCAAGTTAACAGAAAATCAATTCTTTAGGAGAAAGCTCTTGAATTTTAAATGTTGGCAAATGATGTTTTCAGCACCATGCAATTCAAACATCTTAAAATGTCTTGTCTCTCTTGTCTTCTAATGATAGAAGGACATTAGCTCTGCAATATTTCCCCCTTCCTATCTTTCATCTTATTTCATTAAAATGACTTCTTATTATAACTGTTGTCAGGGACTATTTATTTAAAATTTCCACAATATTTTATCAGTGGTTCTTTGCCTGCTTTTACTTCTTGTATTCTATTTGGTTTTTGTTTTGTTTTGTTTTAACCCTGTATTCCTGGTTCCATTCTCTTTGGCTGAAGTTCTATTTTCAGTCATTCTTTCAAGGATATGAGCTTCTTCTAGCTCAGTTTTTTAACTAACTCATCCTCACCTTTCAATACTGTTCCAGATGAATTTAGAATTCTAATTTAATGGTTATGTTTATTTAGTAACCTAAATACATTTCATTGACCTCTGGCCTGTTATCGTTACTTTGTAAGTACACGGATGATGATGGTCTGCAGGTATTCTGTGTCCCCCCATCCTCATCCTCTGGTAATATTTAGGATATTTGTCTTGGTTTTCCCATGAAGAAAATTTGTTTAGGAGAAGATCTATTTTTTTCATCTGGCTTAAGATGTGTTATGTTTCTCTAATCTGAGAATGCCTAACTTTCACCAATTTGGACAATTCTCCATTGTCCTCTTTACTGTCGGTGGATTCACTTTATTCTCTTATGAAGTGCCCATAGACAAATACTAGACTTTCTTGTTCTGTCCGCTTAGTGTCCTAACTTTTGCATCTCTTCATCCTTAACTTCCATTGTACCGCTATGCACTTTCCAGTTCATACTTCCTTCTTCCCCTGGTTCTAGTCTCTGTTTAAACCTGGTTGTTACATATTTTTTAATTTCACCAAGGCTACATCTAGTGAAATCATTGTAATGGTTCTGTTAGTAGGATGAATTATATATATATATATATGTTTAGAAGTGTTTTTAGGGGCGCCTAAATTTCCTGTCTTGTGATTATGAATATATTCTCCATTATGTCACTGAGCACAGTTACAACAGCTGTATTAAAATCCCTGTCTGATAATTCTAGCATCTAGCATGTTCCCATGTGAGCTTATCCCATTTTCCATGGTCTTTGTGTGTTGAGTAATTTTGGATTGTATGTTGGACGTGGTACATTTTATGTTGAGGAGACTCTGGATTCTGCATTATTCCTGACTGTATTTTGGATAATAGTCGGATCTTAGATCAGTACCTTGTTTGCCTTTGATAGAACTGCTTAGAGTCTGTTTTGAGCAAAGACAGTCCAGGGATCAGGCAAAGACTTGGGATGAGTTCATACGTGGCACTATGGCTCCCTCCCCAGCTGCCTCCCGTTTTGGTTTCTTTCCTTTAATTCTTGGGTCATGCTCCATTCTTTCACCTCTTTAGGTCAGATAGACAGAGATTTCTATTGAAATTTTAACCACTCCAGTTTCCTGAATGTAGCCAACCTTCAGGCCACAAGGGGAAAATCACTCCGAGTTCATCCTCTAAGTTTCAACTCTGAAATTTGCCTGATTTTGTTCAATCACCAGAGGTCTTGACCCGATGGATTTGTATTTCATCAGAGTCTGGGGTTGTTACTGGTGGGAGGGTTAGGCTATTAGGAGCTTACTCTGCCACAGAGGACACAAAAATGTTTAATGATTTTTTTAAGAGAAATAATTGATTTTAAAGAATCTGATTTGTTTCCTTTTCACATCTGCCTGTTCTCCGTAAGTCCTGTTCTTTCCTTAGAAATTTAATTTCTTGAAAATTAATGTATATTCAGATGGTTCTATTATCTGAGGCTCCTTGGGAGAGATGTCCCCCTTCTGTTGTGCCCGCTGATATCCTCTCACAAGCAACCCTTTTCACATGCAGAGTATGATTTTGATGGTGGTTTCATCTAGGGAGCGCTATTTTCTTTGGAATGCTGCCTGTCAGTGCCACTTTGTGGAAGTGTTCCCTCGAAGTATTGCTTATTGTTTCTGGGTACAAAAGATTTTCTTCTTTTTTTTTAAATTTTAGGATGTGGTATTCCCACACTACATGTGTACTAAGAAATCATGATCCATGTATCCACGTGGTACAGACCAGAGTTTCTGTTTCCTCGTGGATAATATATTGTATTTTCCAATTTATTGTCTTGGTCAGGTGGCCAACTTCCCTCCCGTGTGTAAAGATTTATTCAAATTTCTACTCATTGCTGAGATAGCCCTTTGTGGTACCTGAATTTACACAGAAAACTCAATTCCAAATAACCACCATGAGATTTCAGATTTCCTATGTAGGTATTAAAATCCTGGCCCACGTACTCTTTGGCTTCAGCCAAATCCAGTTTCATTCCCCATTTCTACAGTAAAAGAAGCCCATTTTTATTTGGACCCATGACCTTAGATTAAAGATAACTATTTCACAATTCCTTTGTAGCTAGTGCAATATTGAGTTCTGCCAACATCATTTAAAGTGCTGTGTGCATTTTCTGGAACAAGTCCTTAAAAGGGGGAGGATATCTGTCTTTGATTTTGCTTCTATCCTTCTATCCTGATGCCCAACAGAATGAGTCTAGGAAAATATCATACACTAGAACTGCAGGCTAGTCCAGGACCTTTGGATTGTTAGGTAAAAGAGAAACTTCCATAGTGTCCCAACCACAGCATATTTGGGTCTCTGTTACCCAAAGCTATACCCATGAAAAACGTAATTTAAGTTGTACATCTATTTTTAGAACTGATTTTCTCTTCCTTTCTGGAGACTGGATCTTCCTCTCTCTTCTCTTGCCTTTGAGCTCAGCTAAGTATTGATTTTAAAATACATGTAGCATTTCAGTATATCTGTAGCATCTCAGTGTATCTGACGTGATAGAGAGGATTTGTGGAAAAAGCTCATTCTTTGACAATTCTGAAAGAAATCTTCTTAATCCTGAATTCTAGAATTAGGACATTTACATATAGGAAAAGGTATAGCTATTTACTGTACAATTTAATCAATCAGTTTGACTTAAATTAGAAACTCATATAACCAATATCTCAGTCAAAATACAGAATATTTTTGCCATCTCCCCAAATACTTCATTTCTACTTTCAGTCAATCTTTACTCCCCATAGGCAGCCACTATTCTATTTTCTATTACTAAAACTTAGTTTTGCCTGCCCTGATCTTCATGTAATTGGAATCAGGAGGTATGTATTTTTTTGAGCCTGGCTTTTTTGCTTACTAATATTGCCTTTTAAAAAAAGATTTATTTATTTATTGGGAGGGGAGGAGTAGAGGGAGAGGGACAGAGAAAATCTCAAGCAAACTCCCTGCTCAGTGCAGAGCTTGTCGCCGGGCTCTATCTCATGACCCTGAGATCATGACCTGAGCTGAAACCAAGAATTGGATGCTTAACTGACTGAGCCACCTACATGCCCCTTAATGTTGGCTTTTAATATTATTGAAATTCTCCCATTTTCTGGTCTATATCTCCCGTGTTCTGGTTTACTCTTTTTTTATTGAATACTATTCCGTTCTATGATCTGTTAATCCATTTTCCTTTCTATTGATTTTTTGTGTACATATTAATTAAGCTGCTACAAGCATTCCTGTACAAGTCTTTTTGTGGACACATACTTTGATTTTATTGGGTAAATACTTAAAAATAATATTACTGGGTCATGGTATAGATGTGTCACTTTATAAGATATGCCAAAGGTAAGAGAAGTCCAGTTGCTGTCTGTCCTCACCAACATATGATGTTGTCAAGCATCTTCTTCTTTTCTTTGAAAAAAAGAATTATTTCAAATTATACACAGATTAAAAAAAGACTGAGGCAAAGAATTGCTTATTTGCTCTCTTTTTACATAATACTATCTCCTTGATGGTTTTCAAGCATCTTAATTTTAGACATTCTGGTAGGTATTCAATAGTATTCCATTTTGGTTTTTATTTGCACTTCCCTCACAAATAAAAATGTTGAACACCTTTTCATGTGCCTATTGGACATTTATATATCTTCTTTTGTGAAACATTTATTTCAGTCTTGAGGATCTTAAAAATCTTTTTGTTATCAGGTTGTGGGAATTCTTTATATATCTTAGCTCACAGACCTTTCACAGATATTGCAAGCATTTTCTTCCAGTTTGTGGCTCATATTTTTATTTTCTTAACAGTGGTCCAAAGAGCAAAAGACTTTAATGTTAACAGAAGGAATTTTTTTCTAGACATAGTGATTTTGACGTCCTCTGTAAGAAATCTCTGCCAACCAACGTTGCAGATATTTTATCTTGTATTTTGTTTTAGAAGTTTCTTCTTGCTAGCTTTTCAGTTTAGGTCAATGACCAGCACAAAGTAATTTTTGTGATGGGATGAGAAAGGGACAAAGACTCCTCTTCCACATGGATGTCCAGCTGTTCAGAAACTATTTGTTGAAAATACTGTGTGTAAGCCATTGAACCGTCTTGTTACTTTTGTGTAAAAACAGTTTATTTCTGGACTCTCAATTCTATTCAGTTGATTTCTCTGTTATTACACCAAAACAATACTGTCTTCATGCAGCATTACTGCGGGTCTTCAAATCAGGTAGAATAAGTTTCCTACTGCACTGTTTTTTTCAAGATGTAAATTAATGTAAATTTCAGAGACAAAAGCAACTTTGCACAAAAAAAGCACAGAAGAATTCTGTTAGGGAAAGCACTGCAACTGTTTGGAGCTTAATTTGAATATTGGTATCTTA